TGGGGATGTAGTTTAGTTTGAAGGCCCTGGGTTTAATCCCCAGCATCACTAGAGACGATGGGGGTGGGGGGTGGGAACATTAATGAGACTATGGTGCTTAGAGGTGGTTAGGATTAAGGTCATCAGGGTAGATTTAATGAATCCTGGCCATTTTATAAGAGGTAGAGGTCAGCAGAGTCACACACATACACATGTAAACTCCCTGTTTCTTGCTATATTTTACACTGTTCCCCTTGACTTCGCACCTCCAGAAACATGAGTGCAAATTAACCTGTTTTCTTTATAAGCTATTCAGTCGGTTTTATTGTTACCAGCATCAGAAATCGGCTAGTACAGTTGGCATTAGCTAGGCTTCTCCATTGTAAAGGCAATTTTTCCTCTTTTTCTTTTTGTTTGGTTTTGGTTTTTTATTTTATTTTGTTTTTTTTGAGATAGGGCCACCCTTTGTAGTGTAGGCTGGCTTTGAACTCAATATGTAGCCCAGATTGGCCTCAAATTTTTGGCGATCCTCTTGCCTCCACCTCCCTAGTGCTGGGATAATAGGCGTGCGCCACCATGCCTAGATTCCTCTTTGTAAGGAATAAGGAAAATACAGGGTGATACTTCAAGTTTGTGGCACTATCTCCAGAACAGGACCTTAAAGGACAAATAGGCATTTTCCAGGCAGACGAGGAGGGAAACTTTATAGACAGAAAGGGAAGTAAATCCAAGGACACAAAGGTATGACATAGTGTCAGGAAGTACTGTGGTTTGGATAGGTGTCCCAGAGACTCATGTGTAAAAAAGAATTGATCCCCAGCCTGTGATACTCTTGGGAGGTGGTGGAAACTTTAAGAAGTGGGGCTTACCGAGAGGTTTCTGGTCACTGGGGGCATGCCTTTGAAGGAGTATTGAGTCCCCACCATTTACCCTTTCTCCTTTTTCTCTTTTTTGCTTTCTGGCCGCCCAGAGGTGAGCAGCTTGTTCCACGGCACACTCCCCACCATGATGTGCTGTCTAATTACAGGGCCCAAGTAGTGGGCCAATCAGTTACAGACTGAAAGCTCTGGAATATTGAGTCTAAATAAACCTTTCCTCTTTTTAAATTGATTTATCTCAAGCATTTGTTACAGTATCAGAAATTTGAGTAAGATTGGAAGGCAGAGAAAAACTCAGAATTGCTATCACGTGCAAAAGCGAGGTAGGAGAAGAGGCTGGTAAAATGGCTGGAGATCCCACAAAGTCTTGGAGTAGGACCTTAGGTTTGATCTTTTTTTGGGGGGGGGTTTGGTTTTTTTGAGACAGGATCTCACTATGTAGTTGAGACTGACCTGGAACTCACTATCTAGCCCAGGCTGGTCTCGAACTTGCAGTGATCCCCCTGCCTCAGCCTCCCAAGTGCTGGGATTACATTAGATTTGATCTTGTAGGGCACGGTGACATGGGAAATTTTTATGCTGGTAAATGCCATCATGAGAATAGATTTGTAGGAAGCTCACAGCTAAGTTGATAGATTTGTGGAGGGGAAAAGAAAGGGGAGAAAAGGACAATACTGGAGAATGTGAACTGTCTCAATAGTTCTGGATCAAATCCAAATACATTTCCTCTCCTCAAGTGTACGCATAGGCTATGCCACACAAGGGGATGGAATGCCAAACTTCCTCTGGATCAGACAGTTGGGGCAGACATAGAAGACAGCTAAGGCAAGAAGGTGAAGATGCAGGCAATATGTTTAAACTGGAGGGTGGTGGTAGCAAGAAAACCTAAGGGTGCATGGGGTCAGAGCACAGGAGAGCCATGTAGCTCAAAGGAGTTGAATGTTTTGTTGTCCAGTAGACAAGTAGAATGGGACAGTTCCCACAGAATGCCGTAAGGCAGAGGTGGCATTTGGCCTCCCTGAGTGATGAGCATAGACAGAGTTGTACATGAATTTCATTTCAGACAGGGGGCTGGGACAGTTGTACCATGATATACAGCCAGCAGGAAGACAGTTCCTTTAAGACTTGTTGATGGTCTCAGCCTGGTCCTTGGTTTACAGATAGTGAGAGGGAGATAGATAGATATGAATGTGAAAGTCTTTCAATAATACTTTCTAGTCCTGAATACAGATAACATGAAAAAAATACTGTGGTTTATTTGTTAGGTGGAAAAAAACAGTTTATAAAAGAGCGGGTATTAGGGCTGGGGATGTAGCTCAGCGGCACCTCAAGGTCCTGAGTTCGATCCCCAGTAGCAAGAAAAAAAAGAGCAGGTAGATTTTTGTACAGATGAAATATATATGTATGTAAATTATAGTTATATATATGCATACATATAACATATATAGTTATATATATGCATTATTTATGCATACATCATATGTATTCTATATCTATTTATGAATCCTATTTATGGAAATATTATGTATTTAAAGCAGCCCCATAAGAGTTCGATAATGTTAAATTTGTTATTTATTATAGGTTTTAACTTTAATGTTTATGAATACTTAAACTAAGATTTTATTTATTTTTAAAACTGACAAATGATAAATCCTATACTTTTATGGTACATAACACGATGTTTTGTTATACATGTACATTGTGGAACAATGAAATCAAGTGAATCAACTTATCTATCACTTCGATACTTATCTAATGTTTGATATTTTTATTTGTTTTGAGGATTGAACACAAAGCCTTTGCCCTGAGCTACATCATCAGCCATCCACTCCTGTTTTTTGAGACAGAGTCTTGCTATGTAGTTCAGACTGGCCTTGAATTCACTTTGTAGCCCATGCTGGTCTCAAACTTGTAGTGATACTCCTGCCTCAGACTCTCAAGTGCTGGGATAACAGGGGTGTGCCATCACACCCTGCCCCCTTTTAAAATTATTTTATTGTAAAACAGGGTCTTGCTAAATTGCTGGGCTTGAACTAGTGATCCTCCTGCCTCAGCCTTCCAGAGTGCTGGGATTACAGGCATGCACCAACATCCTTGTCTGCTGTTAGATATTATTCATCATTATATGTAAATAGTGGGATTAAAGGGAAGTCTTTTTTTTTAAACTTAATTATGTCTTTC